ATGAACGAATAAATAAAATAAATAATTATAAAAAAAGATAATGACATTTTTAAAAATGAAAAAAAAAACCTTTCTGAATAGCAAATGTCTGATGCGTAGGAGTTGTTAAAAAACACAAATTTTAAAGTTTTGTTAGAAATTAATATTATAGGGCCAGCCTCATGGCCTGATAGTTAAGGCAGCTGGATTCCACATCATTTGAGTCCTGGACCTGATGGCTTCAGAAACACAGTTGGGCACATGTACGTGCGTGCCCAAAATCCCAAAAGGAGAGAGAGATGGAGAAGGGATCGCAGTATAACCATTCTCCATAGAAGAAGGATGCTTTCTCTTCTCTCTCTCTGGCAATGAATGCACTCCCTAATAAAAAATAATTTTAAAAAATTATATGATATTGTGCAATCAATGCAGTCTTTTTATATGAATTATTTAATTTAATTTAATTTAATTTTTCTTTAATTTGACCAGAGTGGGGGGTGAGAAAGCAAACTGCCATGTCTGGGACTCGAACTGTAGGTAGCCATGTGGGAATCCAGCACCTTAATGGTAATGCCACCTACTGGCTTGCAATCTTATTTTTTTAAATCAAGATTTAAGCTTAATTGAAATATATCAGGAAGAATCTAAACATACATTGTAAAAACAACACTAGGCTGGAACATCAGGGCACTTCCATATTAATGAATGACCGAAGTGCAAGTAAATTTTACTAAGTGGTTCAGCTCATGAATCTCATATGCAGATGCATTCCCTAGTGCTGTGAGAGTTCATACATCTGTGGTCCTCTCATTGATGCTGTATTTGTTCTTTTCTGCCGGCCTGTTCTTTGCAGTCAGATACTTCCGGAGACTATGAAACCACACTCCTAAAGATTTGTGGAGGAGATGACTGAGTCGAGAAGATACTTACCAAAGGTCGCCTGCTCCTGCTGATGGGCTTTTCGAGCCATTCCACTTACCTATTCTCGTATTGATTACAAGTACAAGCAAGTGTAAACAGCAAACCTGGTTCCCTAACAGAGACTTTCATCATTCTGTAACAACACAAGTGATTGTCTTCAAGCATCTCATTCATGACTTTATAGTTTAAATAACATTTTAAATGGTATTAAGGTTTTGCTAATACCACTTTGCTATCCAAATTGTATTTCTGCTTAGGAAATCAACTCTGTATAGTTCTAAGCTGTTAAATGTAAAGCAGGGTAAGAACAATTATTGATTTTTTTTTAAAAAAAAAAAAACATAATTTGCTTTTAGAACTACTAACATTGTTTGGAATCTGGTGCCAACAACTAATGATATTACAAAGCTTTTTTTCTTTTTTTTATAAGACCTATATCTATTTAACTCGTCTAGCGCCTTGTTAATCATGCTTTTCTTTAAGAAAGAAGATGAATGAATGTGGAACATGTATGTGACCTTGGCCTTCCCCTTCCGCTATGATCAGCTAGAGCAGTGACAATGGATGATAAGCTATTTCAGCCCTCAGAAGACAGTTGCCGAACTGTAAATCTAACCACTTCCTGTCTGACTGGCAAGCATGAATTGTGATTGTTTTATATTAAATACTACTTTCCCAGAATGGATATTTAGAATCAAATCTCTAAGGCTTCTTTTTTCCTCTTAAGTGGATAAAACTATGCATTTTAAAAAATCCTTCATGTTGTCTTGGAATGCAGCCTCGTCTGAAATACATTGCATCGTATAACATATATGGGTAAAAAATTCCACTGGAGGGAACCAGCAGTTAGCGTAATGGCTATGTCGCTGGACTCCCCCGTAGTCAACCGCGGTTCGTGTCCCGTGGACCCGGTGGCTTGGAACTCATGCCCGGCGCATGTGCGTGCGTGCCCAAGATCCCGAGAGGAGCATGGAGGAGAAGGGATTGCGGCGTGACCATCCCCCCTGGGGGGGTGATTTCTCGCTTTCTGTCTCTGTCTCTCTCTGTCTGTCTGGCGAGCGCACGCGCCCTACAGTGAAAATCTCTCCAAAAAAAAAAAAAAATTCCACTGGAGTTATTAGTCAGGGCTAGCATAGAAACAGTCATACTCTAATTGTGATGTGCGAGTCCAGGGTTTTTGGTCAATACAACCCACTGGTGAGAACTGCCGAGAACTTTTAGAAAGGTGGAAGTTAGTTGTTATTCCGGGATTTAAAATGCATGAGGGGCGAAACATAGGGGTTTAGGGTCCAATACGCCTGGCCTTGACTCTCTTCCCTGTGCTTAATCAGCTCAGTGTCCCTGGCAACTACTCAACCCTGCAAGGCCTAAGTTTTCTCACCTATGAAACAGTGATAATTATAGTAGCTATCTTTGTTATGGGATTTTTTTTCCATTGAAGTAAGAAAATGCCTTTGAAGCAGTTAGCCCTGTGCCAGACATAGTAAATATTCGCTTATTGACATTTTTAAAATATTTGCTTAATTTTATTTATTTTTATTATTATTATTTTTATTTGACCAGGGAGAGAGAGAAAGAGAGAGCAAGCCTCCTTGTTCAGGACTCGAACCATGATCGGCCATGTGGGAGTCTAGCACTGTAACCACTATGCCAACCCCAACTTTCTGCCATTATTAAGACCAAAATGATTGCGACAGCATTTTGCAGCCATTGTTCAGCAGACTTCAGTTCATCTACCAAATACCAAGTCCTGTATTCAGCGTTAGATGCAATGAAGGAGACTAAGATGCCTTTCCTTTTGCCAAAGAACTTAACATCTGTTTGACCGAGACAAGTGCGCAGATAAACACAGCACAGTGTGTACCACATGCATCGGGGAAGTGACATTGGTGCCAGGAGGCAGCGATTCAATTTACCAGAAGTTACAAACTCAACCAGTGAAAAAAAAAAGGAGAGGTTCTCCAGACAGGTGCAAGCACTTGTGAAGTCTGGAGAGTGAAATCGCATGGTGTGTCTCCAACTCTAGCGAAGTTTAGCGTGGCTGTGGCTAGGTGTGCCAGGAAGGGGGCAGGTGGGGGTCCGATGAGGTAGGTCTCATTTACTGGACTGAATGGTTTATAAGCAAGAGATCATATGGGGGTAGTGGAGGTGGAGGCAGGGGCCATTAAGCAAGTGTTGTAATTAGCACAGGAAATGTCAGTCCTAACTAAGTTAATGGCAGGAAAGAATGAGAGGAAAAAAATGCTTAAATATTTAGGAGATAAATGGAGTAAAATGGTAATGAAAGTAGTGAGGTGTCAGTTATACTCCCAGTGATTATACTCCAGTGATTTTGTGAATGAGTGTATCATCAAGTCAGTGCTAACACCTGCTGAGTGCTCACTGTGTATCAGACACTGTGTTAAACAGTGGCATATATTTTACAAGCAGCCTTACAGTGTAGATACTCACAGATGCGAGGATGGAAGGCTTGAGAAATGAAATAACTTACCATTGGAAGAGCCGGGATTTAAACCCATGTGAACCAACTCCAAGGGTCCAAGCTCTCAGTCGTTATGTTCCCTTAGAATTTATCCTATCTTGGGACCAACAGTTAGCATAATGGCTGTGTCACTGGACTCCCGCGTAGTCGACCACAGTTCAAGTCCCGGACCCGGCAGCTTAAACTCATGCCGGGCGCGTGTGCGTGCGTGCCCAAGATCCCGAGAGGAGAATGAAGGAGAAGGGATTGCGGCATGGCCATCTCCCCTGGGGGGGTGATTTCTCGCTTTCTGCCTCTCTGTCTCTCTCTTTCTGGCGAGCGCACATGCCCTATAGCAAAAAAAAAAAAAAACCTCTCCAAAAAGAATTTATCCCGTCTTAGGGCTACTACTATTCTTTACAGCTGTAGACTGTCATCTACTCAAATGCAGGGATTTTTATCAGTTGCATCACTGCTGTATCCTTAGTGCTCAGCACATAAAAGGAAACTCATATTTTTGATGAATGAATGAAGGTCTTTTTTTCCCAATTTTTTTTTCCAGATGTCATGTGCACTTGCTGAAGAGAGACACAGAGAAAGAGAAAGTGAGAAACCACCTCCATGGGGCAATGACCATACTGCAATCCTTTCTCCTCCATCTCTCACTTTCTTCAGGATTTTGGGCACTTAGACCTGGAGGGTCTGAGAATCAGACTGCTTGGTTGACCATATGGGATCCAGCCACCTTAACCACCATGCCACAGGTTGGCCCATGAAGTTCTTTGTACTAAATGCAGTTGAATATAAGTGAATATGGGGGACTATTTAAACCCTTGTGGATATACTTGAATCTTAGCTTCCCAGGTTTCAGAAAAGGAACTAATATCATTACACTGTGGAGAGACTTAGGGAGGGCGTTTATTCATTTTACCCACATACAAGGTACTTTTGAAGCTCCTGATCAACATTGAGAGTTACTGTGAAGGTGGAGAGGGTGTTAGCAGCAAGAAGTTTAAATACATTTGGGATATCCTGTGCTTAATATCAAGCTAAACAACTGAAATGATATTACAAGGTATTAATCTTGGTCACATTCTCCAATGTTATGAGAAAGAATCTCTGCCTCTTTTGGATTCGATATTAATTGTTTTTCTTTTCCTTGAGGCGGGGGGGGTTGTACTCCTTTGAGCTCTCCCACATGCATTTTTGATATTAATCTTTTTTCTTTTCCTGGGGGGGGGAGAATGTACTCCTTTGAGCTCTCCCACATGCATTTTTCCTCCCTCCTCACTCTGCCGCTGTTTATTTCTATAATGTAATGAGCCCTGTAAATCACCCTACGACATGGAAGTCATGATTTGACAGTACTGACTGCCAATCACACGATCCTCCTCCCATCCCCATGCCACTTCCCAACAGAGGTCACTGCCATCCCCAATGCCATGTTTCTTGTGCCCTTGCTGTTTATAGTGTTTATAATTTACTTTTTTCCTTAGTTAAGTGGATCTTCTGTTGTGTAATCCCTGGAGCTTCCTTTCCCACATCATGCTAAGTGATATCCATGTCAATGCGTGCCATGTGCTGTATTTATTTTGGCTGTCATGTATCATTCCATTGTGCAAATTATACACATCATTTCTAGGAGGCCTTAACACTGGCCTGAAGGAAGTAGGAGAAACACAGTTTTAGCTGGCTCCCTGCCCCTTGGTGCCTTTGAAGTTACGATCCCCACTGTGACCCCAGAAATAGACTTTATCTCTAGTCAGTAAGGGGCAGAGTGTAATGAAGGAAATGTAAAGCTAAGAAGAAACTGGGTTCTTTTCTACCTCCCCACCACTTAGTTATGTAATCTTGTCATGGAAAGGGATAGCCAGTGGGGCCAGGCGGTGGCACTGTGGCAGCACACCTCAACTCACATGGGCGAGATCCTGCACTCACATTTTGGGACCTCCCTAGGTAGGCCAGATGGGACCAGCAGTTAGCGTAATGGCTATGTCGCTGAACTCCCATGTAGCCAACTGCGGTTTGAGTCCCGGACCCGGTGGCTTAAACTCAACGCCAGGCGCGTGTGCATGCGTGCCCAAGATCCTGAGAGTAGAATGGAGGAGAAGGGGTTGCGGCGTGGCCATCCCCTATGGGGGGTGATTTCTTGCTTTCTCTCTCTCTCTCTCTCTCTCTCTGTCTTTCTGGCAAGGGCACACACCCTATAGCAAAAAATAACCTCTCCAAAAAAAAAAAAAGAATATTTTTACAGAAGAATAGGACAGTGGACCAGCAGATGGTGTAGCAGTCATGTCACTTGACTTCCACATGGCTCACCTCAGTTCGAGTCCCAGATCTGTCGGCTTCAAACTCATGCCAGGTACATGTGCTTGTGTGCCCAAGGTACTGGGAGGAGAATGGAGGAGAAAGGATTGCAGCATGGCTATCTCCCCTGGGGAATGATTTTTTGCTTTCCCTCTTTCTGTCTCTTTCTCTCTCTGGTAAAGTACATGTGCCCTAAGGCAAAAAACCTCTTTAAAAAAAAAAAGAATCGGACAGTCACTAAACTATTCTGAATGCCAGTGTATAGATCTCTCAATTCCTAGCACACTTCCCTATTTGTAGTAGGTATACAGTGTTTTTGATCAGCAAAGTGAGGTGATAAAACTTTTTCATCAGTTGTACCAGATAATCTTAGGGAGCCCAGGAAAGAATGACTGCAGCGATCTTGAGAAGTATCAAATGTTATCCAAATGTGATGTGTAATTACACTTTTGATACTCGAATAACCAATTGTGTTTTATATATGAATCAGGACTTACTATTTACCTAGCATTATGCTAGACATTTTAGATCCGAAGTACCCTCAGAGTGGTTAAACCATTTTTTAAGTGCTTTCTGAAACAAAGTCTATTTATAAGTGTCAATATTTGCTCATTTTACAAATGAGGAAAATGAGATTCAGAAAGTTTAATAACCAGCCCAAACTTTGAGATTCAGGTCTATAGGACTTTCAATTTTATCTGTACATGAGTGATGAAGAAGGTAAGACTATAAAAAAGCGGTTTTCATGTAAGGGAATTCTAGAAAACACACACACACACACACACACTGAGATAACAAAAGTCTAAGGAAAGCTCTCCTCCTCCAACCCTTCTATTCTCATCGTTCTCGCCTCTTAGTCGTTGGACTAGCTGGTAGCTGATAAAAGTATATTCCTGATGATTTCACACGTGGCTCTCAAGGTGGCAGTTGATAGCAATCCTAGGGGGCCTTGGGATCAGGCTGCCTAATTCTGTAACTTCAGGCAAA